CTAGTAATATCTATTAGGTATAATAAATTATAGTATTTTTTCATATGGATTTGATCAAATTTATAAGAAACCAGTGTACTCCGTTTGTTTTGAGGGACGAGGTGAGTATATCACAGTCCGGGTTCTCACTCTGCCAAAAGGGTGAAAAAAAAAGAAGGAAAAAAAATAGCCTCGTGGTACGGCGGGATGGAAGCCTGGAGCTCTGCCATTTGGAGCCGTGCAGTACATCTTGCTCCGATGCTGAGCTAATTTCCGAGGCATTGTTTGCTGAGACAAATAAAAGGAGTATACAAGTTGATGAGAGACCATATGCTATGCATTAGTAACCACTTGCGAGTTGTTTGTACGGTCAAATGCAGTGCAGCAGTAGCGCGACATACGACGCGAGCATTGCCCCTGGATGCCTGGATCTATTCATTCATCTATCCATCTCTTTTGTTTTTCTTGGGATGTGCTTGCTTGGATCTATCCTTGTTATCGTCGTCCGTAGACTGTTACGAGTTGCAAGTACTAGTGTACTTATATCATTGTCTGTCAGTCACCATCGTCATAGATACTCCCTCCGTAAAAAAAAAAGAATGATCATGTGGTTTAAATCTGGTCTCATAAAACATGTAAATCTAGATTAAAGATCAGTTTTATGGTAGTAGGACCCATCAATAAAAAAAAATACACATGCAACTGAAAAATCATCTTACTCGCATGACCCTATCCATCCATCTATATTAACTATGCACTTTTAGTGAATATTCTACATGGTTCTTTTGAGTTCTAAGCGTGTGTTGAGAATGAGACAACAGGGGTACATATGTAATTTTACATCTTTACTAGTGTGATCTTGAAAAGCGAAATTTACATGTTTTATGGGAGGGAGTAGATTTCAACAAACCTTTTTGCCTCCGTCTTCTTTACTTTTTCCCAGGGGCCAGGGCAGAGGGCATCGTCAATCATGTGCACTAGTGTGACATCCCCATGTGATGACCCTTGCCCATCATCAATCAATCCTCTCGCTTAAATAACTAAAGTAGTAATGGCATTGTTCAATTCAGCCTGAGTCATGGATCATTTTAGACATCTAACTCTGAGTGTGGGCCACTAATAATATTTTGATATACAACATATGTGTGGAACTCAGGGTCTGATTGGTTGGATACCAATTTTTATCCAATCAAAATTATGGCAAGCCAAAACTTAGGTTTGCCAAAATCAAGGCTACCAAAGTTAGGGCAAAAGACATAGGCGTGCATTTGGTTGGCTACCAAAATCAAGGCTTGCCAATTTTCTCTTTTATATGCACTTTAAGAATTTTCTAGAGACTTGTCAAAACTTTGGTTATAAATATTGGTGTGCCAATTCTTTGGCAATGAACCAATTGATGACTACAAATTTTGGCATGCCATGGTTTTGGCTGGGCAAGAATTCGGAAGCCTTATGGACGGTGGGTGCTCTTGGTGACAAATCTACTCATTGGTCAGCTTCACACTACATGTCTAAGGACTCGTTTGACTTCTTTGGAGGAGTTGGAGCACTTAGACTGTCTCCAATAGCCCCAACCTAAATACGAGACATTCAATCGTTTGGGTCACGGACAACAAAAGGGTGTGTGGCCCAAAACTTTCCTTTTCCAACAGCGGACGCATCCTCCATCGCGAGCCCCGACTTCTGACTCTCATCTGCCCAGGCGGCACTCCCATGGAGCTCCCCCCATCCCAATGTCTGGTGAGTTCGCCGCCCTGGGCGCCCCGGCCTCGGTCGCTCCCATCCTCGTGCCCGCCTCTGCCCTTGCGCCGGCGACCCCGCGTCCTCGGCAAAGCGCCCCTCGGCCCGTCGCCTCCAGCTCCGGCGGATCGACGGCCCCATGGTCCTCCGCCCCCGCGCTGGCTCGAGCTTCGGCAGCCCCATGGTAGTGACGGCGGTCGCCCCTCCACCTCCCCTCGCGGATCCACCGCAAGGCCCGTCCCCTTCGTCACCGAAGGCGGCGCCAGTCCTCCTTCAATCACGATGGCGCCACCGCCATGGCTACGCCTCCTCTCCCAGCGACGATGGGAGCCTCCAGAAGTACCCCTGGGCAAATTACCCGCTACCCAATACCCGAACCCGAACTACCCGAACCCGTACCCGAACTATTTGAACCCGATCTACCCGGTTACAATTTCGGATCCAGATACCCAAAATTAGTTCGGGAAATTCGGGTAAGACCGTCTGGTACCCAATTTACCCATATTACCCGATATTTTTAGAGCCCATGGACTAATGTCATCAACAATTCAACATCTGGATTAAGTTTAAGCCCACTAATCCACTATGGCACTATGCGGCATTGGCGCATTGCAATTATTTGTGTCTTTACACTTTATAGTGTCCAATATGCAATTATTCACTGCTTGATGGTTGAATTCCATTGATTGTAGAGTTGATAGAAGAATAAGGTGGCAAAGGAAAAACAAAGAGCAGGAATCTGCTTCCAAGTCACAAGCAACACAAAGCAGCAGTATCTGTCCCTCTAAAATTTGAACTTGAAAGGTACTCAAGTATGATAACCCTTTACTGAAATGATGAAATCTGCTTGAAATGGATCATGATGAAGTATGTAGAACTCTGTGTTGACCTGAGGAAAGGAAGATATGCAAAAGAGCAGCAAGAGCAGCAAGAACAAAGAGCCCTACCTCTAGTCTTTCCTGTTTCCTCTTCTACTTCTAATTTGAAATGGTTCAGTGCTTCACTGCTAGTGGTTCAGACGTTCAGTAGACATTTCATGTACTTCTAATTTGAATATGAGATAATGAGTATGATACTGTGTGACTGTCTCTCTGTAATATTTTATGTGACATTATTGTGCTGTGACTCTATTTTTAACATTTCTGTACTTGTGAAGTGTGAACTTATGGTCTTATGCTATCTGGTACTGTTAGTACTTTGGTATTTGCTAGCTGAAGCTTTGCTTATACATTTTTCTCTATGAAATGCTGGAAACTTGGAAAGAAAACTGATTAACTGAATGCTGCTGAAATTTTGTACAAATGCTGGTTTTCTGAATATCGGGTAGTTCGGGAATACCTGAACCCGAACCCGAACCTGAAATTTTGGGTAGTGGTTTTTCGGGGCTGAATTCGGGTAACGTTTTCCATTACCCGAATTTCTTATGACCCGAACTACCCGACCCGAAAAATTCGGGTAACCCGAACGCCCAGGGCTATCCAGAAGTTGGGTCGAGGAGAGAGACGACGAGGAGAGGATGTTAATTTGGGTTCTCTCTCTCCTTCTACGCAAAATAGGTGATCCTTTTGCCTACTCTGATAGACGGCATTTTTTCACTATGCACGACGCATTTTTGGTTTAGGTAGTGGTATGCCTAGGTTGTTGGAGACCGTCTTAAGAAGAAGCCACAAAACATTAGCTCTTCTCCAACCTAAAATAACTTTAACTTCTTCACTATTCACAAGAAAATGACTAGTTCTCTCCTGCGACTCTTTCGTATAAGGCTATGTTTAGTTCGTGAATTTTGGAAATTTGGCTACTATAGCACTTTCGTTTTTTATTTAGCAATTAGTGTTCAATCATGGACTAATTAGGCTCAAAACGTTCGTCTTGCAATTTCCAACCAAACTGTGCAATTAGTTTTTTTTCGTCTACATTTAATGCTCCATGCACGTTTCGCAAGATTCGATGTGATAGCTACTATAGCACTTTTTTTAAAAAAATTTGGGAACTAAACAAGCCATAAGTTGCTATCTGAGTGGAAGCCGAAGCCAGAATAGAGCCGTATCAAATAACCCGATATTGGCCCTGTTCGGCTTACCCTATATTCGGCTTGTTCGGCTTTTTTTCAACCGGAACCGTGTTTTTCTCTCACAATAATTCAACCGGAACAGTATTTTTCAGTCAGTTTCAGCTAAGTTTCAGACCAGCGAACGGGCCATTATATGGTTTCGTGGATATATTGCAGAAAGCTAATTTTTAAAAGGGTCAGTATCTAGGGACGGGGTGACCGAAACTAGCTTTCAGCGTTTCACTCTGTGGGGCTAGAGTGGGCATTAGGCCCCGTTTAGATCTAAATTTTTTTGGATTTTAGCTACTGTAGTACTTTTGTTTGTATTTGGTAATTAGTGTCTAATTATGGACTAATTAGGTTCAAAAGTTTCGTCTCGCGATTTCTCACCCAACTGTGTAATTAGTTTTTTTTCGTCTACATTTAGTACTCCATGCATATACCGCAAGCGTTTCACTCTGTGGGGCTAGAATCTAAACGGGCATTAGTGGAGGTGTGGAACACCACCAAACTGAGATGCAGACATCATTGTCAGGAGAATATTTATCATTGATCAGATCCGCTCATCATCGGCGCCCCTCCATCATTTTTCACTTCTCACCGGGCTAACCCCACTACACAACTACAGGATCCGCTCGCCACGTCATCGAGATACTGGGGGCCCGCGAGGGTACGCCTGCGGGTACGAAGAGAAAGAGAGAACCCCCGTGCTGGCCACCACCTTCTTCTCACCTTCTGCCCACGAACGAAAGAGCGGCGCGAGCAGGGCCGGCCAGCTTTCCGCCCTGATACGTGGGCCCAGCAAGATCCGGGCCCGCCCACCTGGCGTACGGCCGGGGCCCACCCCGAAGCACCCAGGCAGCTTCGTCGTGCTCGTGCTCGTGCCGTGCCCGGCGCATCGGCGTCTCCTCGTGCATTTCTCCTCCTCCTCGCTCCTGCCTCGCCGAGCGCACTTCTCCCTGCCGTGAACGGAAGATTCGATCACCAGTTCGGCGCCGCGCGTCCGACCCCAACCCAACCGCGCTGTCCATCCGCCGCCTCCTGCCCTCCTCCTCCTCCTCCTCCGCATTTGGTGTGGCGATCCTGATCGAACCGCCTTCACCACCCCAGTGCGTGCTCGTCGCGTACTCCGCTCTGCGGAGGAAGGCCGCCCGCCCGCCCGGCCGTCTCTGCGTTGCTGCGCGGATCCGCCGGCGCGGTCCTTGATTCGGGCCGGCCCGCGGCCTCGCAGATGATGGTGGCGGAGAAGCCGGCGCTGGGGTTCCAGCAGGCGCACGCGGAGGGGGAGGACGAGCTGGAGCTGGCGTCGCCGGCGGGCTCGCCGGCGCCGCCGCCCCGGAAGATGCACTCGCTGGACTTCGAGCACATCGGCTCGCTCGCCGCCGTGGCCGAGTCGCTCGCGCCCGGAAGCAGGTGGCGGAGGGCGCTCACCAGCGTGCGCGTCGTCATCTTCCAGGCCAAGATCAACGTGCTCCTCCCCTTCGGCCCGCTCGCCATCATGCTCCACTATCTCTCCGGAACGCACGTAAGAGCTAGCCCCCGGCCCCGCACTTCGTTTCCAAATCTTACATTTTTTTTTCTTTTCGCCAACGAAGTGCACGTACATTTTCTACTTTCGGCGGCGCGTTTGAATCTTTACTGTCAAGTTCATTGTTCTTCCGCTGCATTTAAGTTGCAGTACTCATAAGCTGACGCCTTCCCTTTTCTGTTTGCTTCCATCAAATCCGGGCTCCACAGCAAGGATGGGTTTTCCTTTTCAGCTTAATCGGCATTACCCCGTTGGCCGAGAGATTGGGATACGCAACTGAGTAAGTGTCAACAAAGATGGTAACTTTAGTTCCCAGTTACTTCTTATGCTAGTAGTAATTAAGATTCAATTCTCCCGTCCTATATACATTTTCTATGTCCTAATGGATGCTACTTTATTGCTCATGTGCAGGCAACTTGCTTGCTACACTGGCCCAACTGGTATGTTCTTCGGTCCCATACTGTGTTATCTTTCCTACGCGAATCTTAGCTTTAGCATCTGCTTAGTATTCAGTAAAGATGTAACCTTTTCTTTTCATCTAATTGCAGTTGGGGGGCTACTGAATGCTACATTTGGAAATGCAACGGAAATGATTATATCAATATATGCACTGAAAAATGGGATGATTCGAGTCGTCCAGCAGTCACTCCTAGGATCAATATTGTCAAATATGCTGCTGGTTCTTGGGTGTGCTTTCTTTGCTGGTGGTCTTGTACATTCTAACAGGGACCAGGTCTTCAACAAGGTAGTCTATTTAACAAATCTGGTTTTCCTAAACAATTTTTATATTAAAGACTTGCTGTAGTTTCTATTGACTTGAATTTATCATTGCAGGCATCAGCTGTTGTAAACTCAGGACTACTGTTGATGGCTGTCTTAGGCCTTATGTTCCCAGCAGTGCTTCACTTCACACATTCAGAAGCACAGTATGGAAAATCTGAAGTAACTCTCTCAAGGTTTAGTAGCTGCATCATGCTTGTGGCCTATGCTAGCTATCTATTTTTTCAACTAAAGAGCCACCGCAGTATGTACAGCCCAATTGGTGATGTAAGTAGCTTAACACTAAATCTTTGCAAACATTGGAAACTGGAAAACCAAAAAAAAAAATGCATGCATAAGGATATGAGTTCATTGACTGCACAAAAAAACCTGGGTCACTTCTCTTTGTAATAAAATGATTATATTTGTCGGGGACTATGCTTTGTAAGAAGTCTGGATCAGGTTGATGTAGGTAAGCTGTAAAGCATGGAACATGATAAATGTAATAATGCAGTTAACAAGAAAGACTAGCAAGATATTTGGTTCTCCTGATTTTTCTTTTACTATGGGCACATCCATTTACAAAATGCAATCATCAGAAACATTTTAGTTTATCTTTATCTAGGACATTTATAACTACATCCTAGCAAGTGAGAACATCAAACATAAATATAATCAATTCATATATTTCATTACACTTTTGTGATATGCACACTTCAAATTCGAATTTCTACTTGCCACAACAGGAAGAAGAAGCCACTGAGGAGGAGGAGGATGAAAACGAGATAACACAATGGGAGGCTATCTGCTGGCTTTTTATATTGACTATTTGGATTTCAATACTCTCAGGGTACCTGGTTGATGCCATTCAGGTACTGAAGAGCTTGCTGACAATTGCATTCCTCTGTTCTCTCCCTCTTGTTAGTAATAACTAGAAAAGAGGACCAAATATATCTCTATTTTACCTCTATATAAATTTCTATTTCTTGAACCATGCTTCTTCAACATGTCATAACAGGGTGCGTCTGAATCATTAAACTTGCCAGTAGCCTTTATTAGTGTTATTCTTCTTCCTATTGTGGGGAATGCTGCTGAACATGCGAGTGCCATTATGTTTGCCATGAAAAACAAATTGGTAATTGTTACTCCTTTCTTTTCACCTTTTGCAATTTTGACAAAATGTGAATTCATCTTTAGCCTCATTTTCCCATAATGACAGGATATTACATTGGGAGTTGCGATAGGATCATCAACACAGATCTCCATGTTTGTGGTAATAATACTTACTGCACCAGATACTACTACCCAGCTCTGGTTTTATAAATTCTTTTGTCATTAGCCAGATCGTGTTTTTAGTCAGTAGATATCATCTTTTTTTAATAATTTCCTCTGTTATTTTTTTTCCACGATCTGCAGATTCCATTCTGTGTGGTAATTGGCTGGATGATGGGGCAAGAAATGGACTTGAATTTTCAACTGTTTGAGACAGCGACTCTCTTTATAACTGTACTAGTGGTGGCATTCATGCTACAGGTATGCTTACAGAAAAAGTCAACATCTATTTCCCTTTATATATGAAGTTACTACCACGGGCTGTTTTGCAGCCTATTTTTTAGTTCTAATATTTTACATTTTATTATATATGTTTTTCCAGGAAGGCACATCAAACTATTTTAAAGGCCTTATGCTCATCTTGTGCTACCTCATAGTTGCTGCAAGCTTCTTCGTCCATGTAGATCCTGATGCAAGTAAGTATATTGTTTATTGCTTTGTTAGATGCATGAGAGCAAACTGGATCAAAATTGATGGGTTGGTGGAAATGCAAGAACTTAACCATTTGGATTAAAAAAAACAGTCAGACTATTGCTTTATTTCCTTACCATAAAGGACCATAACTGTGGAAGTTAATTATCCCATTTGTAACTAACATATTCAATATATGATATCGCTGTCAATAGACATGATCGTTTCAAATTAGGATGCTGTTATGACCGGTAAGGTCTATAGGCGTCGACAAAGGGCTAGGAGTCCGGCTTAGCCGGCCAGTTGGCTAGGAGTCCGGCCTAGCCGACCTGTTGGTTATCAAGTCCTAGAATCTAGGATGTTTATCTCTTAGAGTTTGTTATTTGATTTAATTAGGTTTGAGTCGGTTGGAGATCTCTTTGTATAAGTACTAAACAATTATAATAGAAGGATCAGCCTGAGATTGAGCCTATCTCACCTTGGGCCCTCGGGCGTTCATCGTTCACGGTCTCTCCGTTGCACGATTCTCCAAATTGCCGTCTCCATCGGCCACCACGAGCACGGCACCACCACCAGTCCATCGCCGGGGTTCCAAGCCCAGGCCCCCTGTCTCCCACTCCTACGCTCTCCGGTCCCTAAGCCACAACAATTTGGTATCAGAGACCATGGCTTCCTCGGGTGCTCCTGCCGCCGCCGCTGCGTTGTCGGCCACTCCTGTCGCGTGTGGCGCCCCCACCACCGCCCCACACCGCCTACTCTTGAGGACTCCCTGGCCTCCTTGGCAGCCATGCAGCGGCAGATGGCGGAGATGTCCCTGCGCTTGGCGACTGTCGAGGGCCAGCCGGGCCCTTCGATGACACCACGTCTGCCGTACTCCACCCCGCCGCTACTACAATATGGCATGCCGGGGTATGGGGGTTTTCCAGCGTCACAGCCGGTCGTCTCGGAGATCCTGCCCTCGCCGTCAATGCCGGGGTCCACGGCGCCGCGCCTGGAGACCGCACCACCTCGCGTCACCTCGCAGCCAGCTACGACGGGGCTGCCCATTCAGTCGATCCCTTTTCCGGCATCTCCATCACCGGTGCCGTCGCTGTCCTCCATCATGCACGGGCCGTTCTACTCTTCTGCTACGATGGTGCATGAACCGCACCATCACCCTGAGGACCATGGAGACAGCCAGGGCGTTCCCAGGTTTCATAAGCTGTCCTTCCCCACTTACGACGGCAAAGAAGACCCGCTCGGCTGGCTCAACCGTTGTGAGTCCTTCCGCGGCCAGCTGACACGTGAGGCGGACAAGGTTTGGCTTGCCTCCTTCCACATGACGGGATCCGCACAGCAATGGTACTATGTGTTGGAACGAGACTCCGGCCGGCCGTCCTGGTCTAGCTTTCGTCTGCTCTGCCACCAACGCTTCGGACCGGCGCTGTCCACCAACCATCTTGCTGATCTCGCTCGCCTACCGTTTGGTTCCTCCGTTGATGCATACATGGACGCCTTCCAGGCGCGTTTGGTGCACGCGGGGCATCTGGCGCCACTACAACAAGAACAGTTGTTCACCGGAGGACTCCCGGAGTACATCAGGGTCGACGTGGAGCTCCATGACCCTTAGGATTTACACCGCGCCATGCGCTTGGCTCGGGCTTATGAGCGTCGTCAGGCGTCAGCATCCGCCCTCGCGCTCCTGGCACCACCAAGCCGCCAGTCTCGGTGCGTTCCGGCGGTACAGATCGCATTACCGGCTACAGGGGTCGCCCCGCCATCATCACCAGCCTCAGCATCCCCCCCCGCCCGGTCTTTCAAACGGCTCACACCAGCAGAGATGGCAGACCGCCGCAAGTTGGGCTTGTGTTATAACTGTGACGAACCATATGTGCAGGGACACAAGTGTTAGCGGCTGTTTTACCTTGAAGTCACAGATTATCTTGTGGAGGAGCCAAAGTCCGATGACGATGAACAGACGTCAGCAGCCGGCACAGACAAACCCACCATATCATTATCAGCCATTGCGATCATCGGGGTCGAGGATACTATACGAGTTTATGTCCGGTGGGCAATGTACGATTAATGTGGCATTGCTTTGGATTCGGGCTCTACTCACACATTCATCGGTGGCGGTGTCGTCGCGACGCTGTTAGCATCCACTTTGAACCATGCCCAGTCTTTGAGTCACGGTCGCAAAATGGTGACCGCGTAGCTCGCCGAGGGCTCATCATGCGCGACGTCGGCATCTGGTTGTCAAGAAGTCTTCTCAGTCGACTGCTATACCATCCCATTGGACCGCTGGGACATGGCGCGGCATCGGCTCCACCCGAGATGACGTGCAGTCCACTCGCCGCCTCCATACTCTTCACGATGCAGGCCATACCACCGGAACACCATTGCTTGACAAGCTACTCAACTCCTTTGAAGATGTGTTCGCCACGCCCGAAGGCTTGCCCCACTTTCGCGCTGTGATCACCGCATTCACCTAGTGCCCAATGCGGTACCGATGGTCGTGAGGCCTTACCGCTACCCACAACTACGTAAAGATTTAACCGGAGTCCCAATGCGCCGCTATCTCTGCAGATGGGGATGATCCGCCCAAAGATGCTTTTTCTTTCTCTTCTGCTTTGTTGGTCAAGAAACATGACGGCTCTTGGAGGTTCTGTATCGATTACCGTGTGCTTGAACAAGCTCACCGTTAAAGACAAATTCCCAATTCCGGTGGTCGAAGAACTACTGGATGAGCTCCATGGGGCACGATTTTTCTCCAAACTGGACTTGCGTTCAGGGTACCATCAAATTCGTATGCATACTGATGACATTGAGAAGACGGCTTTTCGGACTCATGAGGGTCACTTCGAGTTCTTTAGTCATGCCCTTCGGGCTGTCCAATGCACCGGCAACATTCCAAAGCCTCATGAACACAAGATTCGCCTGCTCTCGCCCGTTCTGCGTAAGTTTGTACTTGTGTTTTTCGGCGACATCTTGATCTATAGTCCATCTTGGTCCACACATCTGCGGCACCTCAACGCAGCTTTCTTCGCCCTACGTGCCCATCAGCTGCGATGAAAAAGATCTAAATGCGACTTTGCTACGACATCGGTTCATTATCTGGGACATGTAATATCTGCGGATGGGGTTGCAATGGATCAGGAGAAGGTTGCGGCCGTCGCTACCTGGCCTCAACCTGGCAATGTCCATGCTCTCCGGGGGTTTCTCGGCCTCGCCGGGTACTATTGTCGGTTCATTCAAGATTATGGCTCGGTGGCTGCACCGTTAACGGCGCTGCTCAAGAAAGAGGCTTTTCTGTGGTCATCTGCAGCCACCGATGCTTTCAATGCCGTCAAGAAGGCCCTGTCCACTGCACCGGTTCTTCAACTTCCTGATTGGGACAAATCATTCATCGTCGATTGTGATGCCTCCGGCTCTGGTTTCGGCGCAGTACTTCATCAAGGCGGAGGTGCCTTGGCGTTTTTCAGTAGGCCCTTCGCAGCTCGCCACCACAAGTTAGCCGCATATGAGAGGGAACTCATCGGCCTTGTCCAAGCAATTCGGCACTGGCGTCCGTATTTATGGGGCAGGCAATTTATTGTGCGCACAGACCATTATGCGTTGAAGTTCTTGTTGGATCAACGGCTCTCTACAGTTCCCCAACATCAGTGGGTGAGTAAGCTCTTTGGGTATGATTTCACGATTGAATATCGGCCGGGCACCCTCAATATTGTGTCCGATGCGTTGTCTCGGAGGGAGGGGGACGATCTGCTGCTTCATGCAGTCATGGCGCCTTCCTTTCAGTTATTCGACGACCTCGCCGCGAACTGCAGCTGGATGATGACCTGTGTGCGCTTGCGCGACTCCATTGTGACCAACCAGGGCGCGCCCCTGGCGTCTCGCTGATGGTTTGATCATGCGCGCGGACCGTGTATTTGTCCCAGCAAAGTCCTCACTTCTTCCCGCTGTTCTCCAGTTGGCGCACGGTGCTGGTCATGAAGGCGCACAGAAGACGCTGCAGCGCCTTCGTCAGGAGTTCGTGATCGACCATGACCGTCGCCTTGTCCAGGACTTTGTGAGCTCTTGTTTCACGTGTCAGCGAAACAAAACCGACCATCTATACCCGGCTGGTCTCCTTCAGCCTTTGGAGGTTCCATCGCAAGTTTGGTCTGATATTTCCATGGATTTCGTGGAAGGCCTTCCGCGTGTACATGGGAAAAGTGTGATTCTAACAGTGGTTGACAGATTTTCCAAGCATGCTCATTTTTTACCACTGAGTCACCCATACACAGCAGCGTCTGTCGCCGGAGTGTTCTTTGAGGGCGTGGTCAGACTTCATGGTTTTCCGGCATCCATTGTTAGTGATCGCGATCCAGTATTTACGGGGCATGTTTGGCGCGATATCTTCAGGCTCGCTGGGGTAAAGCTAAAGATGAGTACAACTTTTCACCCCCAAACCGATGGACAGTCCGAAGTGGTCAATCGTACAATTGCTATGTATCTGCGATGTCTAACTGGTGATCGTCCTCGCTCTTGGCTTCAATGGCTTCCGTGGGCTGAATATTGTTACAACACTTCATTCCACTCCTCACTTCGGACAACGCCGTTTCAGGTGGTCTATGGCCGGCCTCCACCGTCTCTGTTGCCTTATGCTGCGGGCACGGCAAGGACAGATAGGGTGGACCAGCTTCTAGGTGATCGTGACAAGTTTCTCGCCGATGTTCGTGATCGATTGCTGCAAGCCCAGGAGTATGCCAAAAGGCATTATGATGCTCACCACCGCCCTCTTCAGTTTGACGTCGATGATTGGGTTCTCCTGCGCCTTCTCCATCGGCCAGCACAGTCCTTGGTGCCGGGTTTCCGTGGCAAGCTTAGTCCACGATTTGCTGGTCCATTTCAGGTCATTGAGCGCATTGGCGAAGTGGCATATCGCCTGCGTCTTCGGGCCTTTCCGATTCATGATGTGTTCCATGTTGGGGTTCTCAAGCCGTTTGAGGGAACCCCACCTCCACTACACCACCGCTTCCTCCTCTTCGTCATGGCGGGTACTTCGCCGTCCTTCACGCGCGTGCGCTTCGTTCTCGCTGCGCGCATGTGTGGCATGTGCTTTGGTTCGATGGGAGAACATGCCAGAAGATGAGGCCACTTGGGAACCCGTGGATGAGTTCCGCACTCTCTTTCCTTCGTTTCAGCTCGAGGACGAGCTGTTTCCCGAGGAGGGGAGAGATGTTATGACCGGTAAGGTCTATAGGCGTCGACAAAGGGCTAGGAGTCCGGCTTAGCCGTCTATTAGCTAGAGTCCGCCTCGACAAGTCCTAGAATCTAGGATGTTTATCTCTTAGAGTTTGTTATTTGATTTAATTAGGTTTGAGTCGGTTGGAGATCTCTTTGTATAAGTACTAAACAATTATAATAGAAGGATCAGCCTGAGATTGAGTCTATCTCACCTTGGGCCCTCGGGCGTTACTGTTCACAGTCTCTCCGTTGCCGCCGATTCTCCAGCCGTCTCCAGTCAGCCGCCGAGCACGGCACCACCAGTCCTTCGCCGGGGTTCCAAGCCCAGGCCCCCTGTCTCCCACTCCTACGCTCTCCGGTCCCTAAGCCACAACAGATGCTTTCGTTCAAATTCTGCTATCTATAACACAAACTCAACAGACTGAACTAAGACAAACCTTCAATTGCATCTAGTGGATTGTCTAGAAAACAAAATGCTTAATTTCAAGGCATCTTAGGTTATTTGCTTTGCATTTATTCATCTGCATCCCCTAACAATCTGCTTGGTTGGCCTGAAGCAGGTGAGAACTAAGTGACAAATCTACAGACAGTATATCTGTGAACTGAATGGAGAGGCTACTACCTAACTGCAGAGTTAGCAAATAGCATTGCCTGCGTAGATGAGGACCTGCCAGAGCCCTGAATTTGGAAGCAACTTGTGGGCAGAATCCCGCACCAAGGGTTTAACTTGGGGCTCAAGATTACAAGGAGCTGATGCAGCTTTTTTAGGATAGCAACAGCATCCCAGTTGAGGAACTGTAACTTTATGTGATGATCACAAAAATTACCATTGCATTTGTTCAAGCTTCATGTGCCACAGTTTTTATTTTGTTGTGATGTTACTGCTGGTAGGTACGACGGTATTAGACCTATCGGTAAGGTCGTTGATCTGATCGAGAAGCTTGCTAATGTACATTTTCAGGGTATGGGTCAGTAAACACTGAACTGTCTGGCAGGAAATTTTTGATTTTACATTGTATTTTTTGTTTTCTACAAAAAAAGGTTTTTATTACGGCCGAGTCAACCGATGGTAACAACGTGACGACCGCCTTTTGAAACAGCAGGATGTGTAAAAACGCCAGGTGCCTCTTGTCTTTTACAATGTGTAAACCAAAATGTTGTGCTTGTTCTAGAAGATTTATTTTTTATGCACGGTTCGTAGTCGATTTTTTTACTAAGAAATGTTTGATCTTCTACAGTATTTGTTTGCGTAACTTTTATGCAGGGTACCTTTCATGCTATACGCATGAAATAAAGTTGCGTTTACCACAAAAAAAAATTGCGGTTATAGTATTTGGTTATGAGATAAGAGGCAAACAAATATGTTATTGCCATATATCATTTTGACATGATGCGATTACGAAATTGCTTGGCTTGTATTCTTTTCTTTACAATAATCCATGTAACTTGTGTGTGTTAAATTTGTTTGTGGTTGAGGTTGCAGCTTGCATAGAATAGACATGTCATTGTAATACCGAGTACACATATCATTTGCATGATCGTTTGAAAAGACATAATAACATTCGAGAATATAACCTATGGGCGTCCCAACGGGGATCAAATAGCTAGCTCAGCCGCTCAGGTATAATTTCACTGGATGGAGAAGGGAGAAAGCAGCGTGCTAGCGAGTATGTATGCAATAGATAGTCTCGCACATGTCCCAAGAAAACTCCAGTCTCAACCCACATGACTCAGCCATCAAGTGTTGTTTTTTTTTATTGTTTTTGGAGCTGACCTCGCCTGGCGATCTTCTCCCGTTGAGGACGCCCTACGTACAAACATGTTTCCACAACTTTGCACGACCATAACGTGAGATGTTACCATCGTGAATGCAACGTACATTAATGCTATGCATTTGTGCTGGTTTCATATTATGTTTTTTTGTTGCGAAAAGTTTTTAAAACCTTTGGACAATTTCTATATTTTTCTGGTTATTTTTTTTTCCTTTTTGATGAAGCTAAATCTATCTTTTAAGCATCTAAAGATATTTTTATGAGCTCTAAATATATTATAAAGTATATCTCTAGATTTAAAAGAAACATTATCAAGTATTTATCATATTTTTTAACTAAAAAATGATAAACAGCTCTTCAAAATCACTTCAAACCAATTGAATCGTTTTGATAGTTCGGGTGTAAGATATCTGGTTTTATATAGTTTTAAGAAAAAAAATCAGACTATAAATAATGGTTCAGAGCTCTAAAATAGATTGTTTTCCCCAAACCTATAGAACGGCCCATCTCACCTCCTTGGCCCAGCTCGCTCGCTCTTGCGGTCTTGCCTTCGCGAGGAGTCGCGGCAGTCTCGTCATCAACGATTCCAAATACAAACTCCCACAACTTCAGCAGAAACCCTAGCCCTAGATCCCCCACCATGGATCTGCTCCAGTCCTCTTACGCGCCGGACGACGCCTCGTCTCCGGAGGACTCGGCGGCCGCGTCCTCGCCGGAATCCTCGCCGCTCCGCCTTCCGTCCAAGTCCGCCGCCCCCGCCGTCGACGACACCGCGCTCGCGCTCTCCTCCGCCGCGTCCGCCGCCCGCCCGCTCGACCCCTCGCTCCACCTCGTCGCCTTCAACCCCACCGCCGACCAGCTCTGGGCTCCTATCCTCGGGCCCCAGCATCCCCACGCCCCAATATCCTCCGCCTCCGGCAACCGCAACCACAAGCTCGGCCACGTTGAGGACGCCGCGGTCCTGCCATTCCTATTCGACGAGCAATACAACACCTTCCACCGGTTCGGCTACGCCGCCGACCCCTCGGGCCTCCACATCGTCGGCGACGCCCAGCCGCAGGCGCCCGAGCCCGACACCGTCTACAACCTCGCCCCCTCCGAGCACAAGCGCCGCCGCCTCGTGGCCAAGGCGGACAACCAGGACGAGCCCGCGCCCCCGGAGGCCAAGAACCCTGCCTCCGAGGAATGGATCCTCCACAACAAGCAGAGTCCCTGGGTTGGGAAGAAGGAAGCGCCTCCCGCGGAGCTCACCGAGGAGCAGAGGCAGTATGCGGTGGCGCACGCTGCCAAGAAGGCCGAGAAGGAGGCCCGCGGCGAAGGGAAGAGCGAGAGGACAGAGGTTGTGGTCAAGACCACCTTCCACGGCAAGGAGGAGAAGGACTACCAGGGACGCTCCTGGATCACGCCGCCCAAGGATGCCAAGGCCACCAACGACCACTGCTACATCCCTAAGAGGTGTGTGCACGAGTGGGTCGGCCACACCAAGGGGGTCTCAGCTATCAGGTTTTTCCCAAAGTATGGACATTTGCTGCTGTCTGCAAGTATGGATTGCAAGATTAAGATCTGGGATGTTCTTGGGTCACGGACTTGTATGCGTACTTATATGGGGCACTCAAAGGCGGTAAGGGATATATCATTCTCCAATGATGGAACTAAATTCTTGAGTGCTGGGTATGACAGGAATATACAGTACTGGGATACTGAGACAGGGCAGGTGATCTCGACCTTCTCAACTGGGAAGGTTCCATATGTTGTGAAGCTCAATCCTGATGAGGATAAGCAGCATATTCTCCTTGCCGGAATGAGTGATAAGAAGATTGTGCAATGGGATATGAAGTCAGGGCAGATTACGCAAGAGTACGATCAGCATTTAGGGGCTGTGAACACCATAACTTTTGTGGATAACAACAGGAGATTTGTGACCTCAAGTGATGACAAGTCTCTTCGTGTGTGGGAGTTTGGCATCCCTGTGGTGATTAAGTATATCAGTGAGCCGCACATGCACTCAATGCCATCGATTGCACTGCATCCCAACTCCAATTGGCTGGCAGCGCAGAGTTTGGACAATCAGATACTGATATACAGTACCAAGGAGAGGTTTCAGCTTAATAAGAAGAAGAGATTTGCTGGCCATATTGCGGCAGGTTATGCTTGTCAGGTGAACTTCTCACCTGATGGGAGGTTTGTGATGTCTGGTGATGGTGAGGGTAGCTGCTGGTTCTGGGACTGGAAAAGCTGCAGGAGATTTAAGACTTTGAAGTGCCACAATGGAGTTTGCATTGGATGCGAGTGGCATCCATTGGAAACTAGTAAGGTTGCAACCTGTGGTTGGGATGGTGTAATTAAATACTGGTAAGTTGATCACACAACCATGGATGCTCCTTTAAATTGGAACCGCTGCTTTTAATTGCTTTGTAACTATTCAGAGGTCTTTCTTCTTGTTATTAAGAGTAGTATTTTCTGTTAAGTACTTACTGAAACTCTCAGGCTCACAATGCATTTAGAGAATTAAGGTTTTACTGACTTAATCTCATGCATGGTGACCTTGCAAAAATTGTGCTAAGATTTTTATGAACTTAGAGCATTTGATTTTGTTTCATATTACAGGTTATGATAAATATACACTCTTTTGTATATGTTTGATTTGATACTATATTAGTTTTGCTTTCATAAGAATTGCTTTAGTTAGTCACAAACACTGTAAAGTAGTAGGATACATACTTGATTATGGTTTACATGCAAAACTTGCACCCAGAGGCTAGATTACGTATGGTGGTGTTTTTATTTTTGTGTGCTCTAAATGTGGTTTCAAACACTGTTCTTCCATAAACTGTATAATTTCTTGTCTTATTGCTGATACTCGTGGTTGCCCTGCACTCTTTTGCCCAATACTTTATTTTCTAAGAGGTGTGAATATCTATAGTTTCATGTGCTAGTGAAGTTGTGATGGTGGTTAATTGGTTATAGTGTTATTTCTACTTATGCTATCATATTTATTCTCAAAGGTGTGATAAACCTGGCCATGCATTTAGGGTTACCCCTTGTAATATCTATTGCTGTTGCAGTGTGGTGTTGGTACAATTGACCAAAGGGATCACTTTTATGTTCCATATATTCTACTGAAAATGAATACATATTATTTTCCATGATGTTTACAAGAATGGGAAGGGCGGGCCTGGTGCAAGCGGTAGAGTCTTACCGCCTGTGACCGGAAGGTCCTGGGTTCGAGTCGCGGTCTCCTCGCATTGCACAGGCAAGGGTAAGGCTTGCCACTGACACCCTTCCCCAGACCCCGCACAGAGCGGGAGCTCTCTGCACTGGGTACGCCCTTATGTTTACAAGAATGGGTTAAATGGAAATTGAGCTAATGATGTGTAGTTGTTCCTATATTTACTTGGCCCTATGGCAGTTGATACTTACATCAAACTGTATGTTATTCATTGTTTGTTTCCTATGAGTGTGCTGATATGTAGAATTCAGCATGAATAATTTTATGGTTGAATTTATTATGTGTGAAAAATACATGTTTTATGTGACCTGCTTTTGTTACCGCTATAGAAAATATTTGCTTAAATGCCATATTTGTCAAAATTGTGGAATTAAGAAGTTGCGAAAATGCTTTGTTATCTACTCCGTCCCTAAATAACTGTCGTTTTCGTTTCCCGAGAAACAACTTTGACTGAATATATATAAAAAATATTAATATTTATGGTACAAAATTAATATCATTAGGTAGATCGTTGAATCTATTTTCATAATAAATTTATTTGGAGATACAAATGTTGCACGGATTTTCTAAAAATCCAGTCAAACTTACGGCACGGAAACCAAATGCCACAGTTATTTAGGGACGGAGGGAGTATTGAGTAAGCTTTATCTCATTTGATGTGTTTGCCTGATCAACTTTGCTATCTTGTTGAACCTTTAAAACACTCTTAGGTTGCCATCTTTTTTTTTTGTTGTCTTCTGTATATTTATGATATGGCACTGACATTCCTCTGAACAACTTTCAGGGACTGAAGTTTGTCAGAGAGATTGCTTGAGCTCCTGGGAAAGGTTTTGTAACAATCCAATTCACAAGGGCTGAATGTCATGAGATACTGTAAGTCAACATGCTCGACGAGAGAATCCCGGTTTGATGCAGGAGAAAAATGTTGTGTTTTTGAGGATACATATATGGGAGAATAAGGTGGTGTTTTTCTGCTACCTTTGGGTTGGTTCTGCCCTGCTAGATGTTCAAATGTACAATACTCGCACCAGATTCAAATTTTGAGTTGTATCTTTGCCACTAGCAACTTGTATGTGGTTTCTGGTAATCCTGTTGGTTTCTGGTAATCCTGTTGTAGCATCTGAGGAAGTGTGTGTTGTGTAGTACTCCCTCCGGGCCATTTTATAAATTAGATCCCTTTTTAATAGCTGCAGCCAAGTGAACAGAAAAATAAATAGAGATTGAGCTGAGTCAAGTGACCTACAGATCCATGTTAAATGCTTGACGCCTTGATTCCTGAACAATTAAGGGCCTGTTCGCTTGAACTTATCAGCTGGTTTATTAGCTAGAATCTACAGTATTTTTCTCTCACAACAAAACAGTTTCAGTCGGCTTATCAGCTGGCTTTAATACTAGCCGAACAGGCTCAAATAGATTGTAATTGATTCTGAATGTGCAGATATACATATACACTAAAAGTAGAGTATTAAAGTTCATAGTAAGATCTAGGGTGCACCATTGGATTAGAAAAAAGCTCTTTGATTCATTGACGTAATCATATTTAGACCATTTACTTGTTTTCTATTACTTTTTTTAGAATATAAACTTATAATAATTAGGTAGTACATTTGAATACAAATGTAACCGTATTAAGTTTGTATTATAATAGCTAAATGTTATTGGTTAAAGACTGAAGTATGAACATGTGCTTGACATGCGTGGTTTTCGGTTGGTTAGTGCACGAATAAGGTCAAGGCCCTGTTATACATAAATCAGGAAGGTATAAAATTAGCTGGTTCAGGAACTGTGATTTGATCATGATGGTTGAACTTGGGCCAGAAAGGTGACAAAACAGAAGCTCCTCCTCCGTTGTTGCACTTGTACGTCGATGTGTTGGACTGTTGGTGTCTGTCTGGGCGGGCATGGCACCACGCAATCCCGCTGCTAAGACGTGGGAGGGGACCCGCTATCTCCGTCGTCATTTCCTATCCTAGTAGAGATGCAAAAGAATGATTCCCTCCTTTTCCTAGCTTCCAAGGTCAAAAACTACGCGGGCGGGGCAGACGGATCACTCACACGTATATCTTACACTCGTCCATCTCCTTCCGGTATCTGATCCCTTCTTTTCCTTGTCCTCCAAACTCATCATCGTCTTCCATCTTCACATCCATCAGTCCTCTTCTTGACACAAACACCATTTGTGTATATGCTTTCCCTTCTCGGTGCAAACACCATCTGGTCCGCCACCCGTTCCCACCTTTCCGCGGTTCCGGCCGCCAACCCTATATCTTCGTCGTCATCAGTTCAGACCTGCAAACCCACCGGTGGCCGGTGCACATAACATACAGACAAACGCGGCACTGCGCAGCGCAGCACGTACGGTGGTGTGTGCCGGCCAGTGATCAATAAGATGGCGGCGGCGCTGCGTGCGCTGGCGGTGCTGCTGTGGGTGGCGGCGGCGTACCCGGTGGTGTTCCGGGCGCGGCCCCTGCAGGCGCTGGCGGCCAACTGGGGCACCCGCGCGCTGCACCCGCTGCCGGGGGACATCACCGTGCGCCTCCTGCGGGACAACGGCTTCGACAAGGTGAAGCTGTTCGAGCCGGACCCGAACGCGCTCCGGGCGCTGGGCCACTCGGGGATCCAGGTCATGCTGGGCCTCCCCAACGAGGTGCTCGCCTCCGTGGCCGCCAGCGTGAACGCCGCCGAGCAGTGGGTGATCCAGAACGTCTCCACCTACGTCTCCAAGTACGGCGTGGACATCCGCTACGTGGCCGTGGGCAACGAGCCCTTCCTCAAGTCGTACAAGGGCAAGTTCGAGGCCGCCACGCTGCCCGCCGTGCAGAACGTGCAGGCGGCGCTCGTCAAGGCGGGCCTCGCCAGGCAGGTGCACGTCACCGTCCCGATCAACGCCGACGTCTACGAGTCCGGCGACGGCCGCCCGTCCTCGGGCGACTTCAGGCCCGACATCGCGGGCCTCATGGTCAGCCTCGTCCGCTTCCTCCTCGACAGCGGCGGCGTGCTCACCATCAACATCTACCCGTTCCTCTCCCTCGACGCCGACCCAAACTTCCCCGTCGACTACGCCTACTTCCCGTCCCCGGGGGCGCCGCCCTCGCAGGCCAGCGTGCAGGACGGCGGCGTGCTCTACACCAACGCCTTCGACGCCAACTACGACACCCTCATCGCCGCGCTCGAGAAGCACGGCCTCGGCACCATCCCCGTCGTCGTCGGGGAGATCGGCTGGCCCACCGACGGCGACAAGAACGCCAACGTCGCCAACGCGCAGCGGTTCAACCAGGGACTCTTCGACCGCATCGTCGCCGGCAAGGGCACCCCGCGACGCCCGCGGATGCCCGACGTCTACGTCTTCGCGCTGCTGGACGAGGACAACAAGAGCGTCGACCCCGGAAACTTCGAGCGCCACTGGGGTGTCTTCAACTACGACGGCTCGCCCAAGTACCCGCTCAGGCTCGCCAACGGCAGGGCCATCGTGCCGGCCAAGGGCGTCCGCTACCTCTCCAAGCAGTGGTGCGTGCTCCGCCCGGACGCCAGCGCCACCAACCCGGCCATCGCCGGCGCCGTCGGCTACGCCTGCGAGTACTCCGACTGCACAAGCCTCGGCGCCGGATCCTCCTGCGGGAACCTCGACGCGCGCGCCAACGTCTCCTACGCCTTCAACCAGTTCTTCCAGGCGGCCAACCAGCAGAAGGCCGCCTGCAACTTTAACAACCTCTCCGTCATCACAACCACCGACCCGTCCCAGGGGACCTGCCGCTTCAAGATCATGATCGACACCGGCCGCCACGAGCTGACTGGCAAGTCGCCGTCCGCCGCCCCCAGGGTGGCTCTGGCTTCATCTTCATCATCTTGGAGCGCCGTGCTACTGCTCGCCTTGGTCGGCCTTACTACTCTGGTCGCCTGGTGAGCGTGACACTGCAACGCAACGGCTAGAAACTAGTAGCTAGAAAGGCCGGCCCAATTCTTTAATTTCTCCAACTAAACGCTGATGGTAAATGTGCATTTGCCGTTGGGATTAATGGCGAAGGGTAGCTTCTGACCTTCTGTTACTAGCAAAGGGGATTCTTTCTGATGTACATATGCATGACAGAGATGTTGATATGCAATTTGGTTGGAATATGTGGACGTGTCCTCTGTTGATGTTTCCTGGATATATGGTTCGGATTTCAGAGTATATATATTCATAAGACTAATTCTGTGGCACTAGTAGTGCTACATCTTCCCTGTAATTTTTGGACAACGATCAGAGACGAAATCAGAAAGTTGGTTGTCTTCAAAAGATATCCATATACACGGCTGAATGAACCATATACTATATATTTTTTTTTTTTAAAAAGGAACTTTCTTTTCACCCCTGCTTCAGGTTGCAGCAGCATTGCAGAAAGGTCTGGCATTGCTTTTATATACAAAACACACAATGACTCAAAGTAAAATGGCATTGGTAAAAGTCACATTTCACCTGACACTGGCACATGTCACACCGTCACAACTCACAACAATGCTAAGATGCAAGTTTCTATGACCTGTGAGTCTTCTATAGTCCCTCATCGAACTCTAGGTACATCATTTTCCCCTAGAACGTGTGATCACCAGATTCATCGAACCGGCAAGAATTCCACTCGCTGCTTAGTGCTGTCCCCATGCTTGCTCGCTGCACAAGACGGACCAGTGACTGGACGACCTCCGACATTGGTGGCCTGAATTCTGGCTCAGGCTGTGCAATTGGAAATTGATCAGTCAGCAACACTGTACAAATCGCTGGAGATGCGAATAATAGCAACTAAACTTGAGATGGTTTACCTGGACACAGAGAGCGATTGCGTCTGCGAACCGAGAGAGTGATTTCGCATGGTACAGCCCCTCTAATGTTGGATCAACCATCTGATCTAGCGAGTCGATGTCGTGCAGCTGCAGTGAAGCCCACCGGACTAATGATTGCTGGGACCTTGGCCGAGAGCTGAAATAGTTTCAGTCAACAGTTATCATTCAGTCTAAACTCACTGTCTCATCTTGTTACAGTGTAAGTAACAGCGCTGTAGTCCTTAGCTTGCTCACCTGTCAAATGCTTTCTGTCCAGTCAGTAGCTCAAGCATGATGACACCAAAGCTGTAAACGTCGCTCTTTTGAGAATACTGACCGGACATGGTCACCTCAGGAGCTCTATATCCCGAGTTATCATCTGATTCCTGAAGATGTCAACGTGTAAGGAAATTTTTAGATAAAGTTTGCTCACTATATATTCAATACTAACTTCAGAACTTTTTTAAAAAAAATACTAACTTCAGAATGCATACTATAAGAATGATAAAAAAACTTCATGAACAGAAACTGAAATCGTCTGCTTTGTAAGGCAGCAAGCACTGTCCGTTTATCAGAATAAGGTCTGATAGTCTGCTTTTAACACTGATTTATGTTCCACAATCTATTCCAACCACTGTTAACAAACAATAACATTAAATTGTAACTGTAAAATACTTGCATCAGAGGACATTTATCAGATTTGCATATTTTTTAGACCTGTCACCTGTAAAACAAAAAATGAACAGACTGATACCTGGAGTTCCTGGTTGGGAATTAGGTCTGCAAACCCGCAGTCTGAAATATGTGGGTTAAGATCATCATCCAACAGTATGTTAGATGATTTGAAATTCTTGTGGATGATAGACGGCGAACAAGTTTCATGTAGATACCTGAAAACAGCACATATTCAGTTCAAGACCCCCACCCCCACCACCAAAAGACACATGATGAGTCTGTCTGACTTACTCTAATGCCCTCGCCGATCCTAGAGCAATCTTTACACGGTTATTCCAAGATAATGGTTTGCTGTACCCATCCGACAGGTGGAGGAGGTCATAAAGAGATCCATTCTTGTAGAATTCATATGCCAGCAAGCACTGTCCGTGCTCCAAGCAGTAGCCATCTAGCTCTGAGAGGTTTGGATGATTTAGCTTTGCAATGCTGCCAACCAGCTCGACGAAGAAGTCAGATGGGTGGCCTGGTATGGCAGAGAAATTGATTTTCTTCACAGCCAGAATCTGGTGGAACAAGTACAGACCAAAAACTGAGGCTAGGATGGTTTAATAGAAACACCAAGGTAAATTTACAGTCTCTGTTACTATAACATGATAAAGTATGAGCCGAAATTGTAGGAAAAAATATCAAATTTATCTTGAGATAAGGAATTAGAAACCCTAAATCCTATAACCAATCCCGTGAAGTTTTTGTACTATGTTAGCGCTTGCATACAGATTTGCATGGTGTGAACAGTTTGTGAACTCCAGTCTGAATATGGATATGCTACCGCTTACATGAGCTTAAGATAATCAATTTTAGTTAAGAGCATAATCACTGATACTTCAAAGTTATAAAGTAGTATGGATTAAGAATCAATGCTGTTAGGTTTGGTAAAATAAACAAATTCTTTGATAATGAAGGTTGAAAATGTGTTCTTCACTCTGGAAAGAAAATGGTCAAACAGAGGTTACTGAGCATATTAGTTTGGAAGGTCAAGTAGTGCCTAGAAAGGATACCTTTCGCTATTTAGGATCAATGCTACAGAGAGACGGAGATATTGATGAAGATGTTAGCCATAGAATCAAAGCAGGGTACATGAAGTGGCACAAGCATCTGGTGTCCTATGTGACAAAAGGGTACCACAGAAACTAAAAGGCAAGTTTTATAGGACGGCGATTAGACCTGCTATGTTGTATGGTGCAGAATGTTGGCCTACGAAAAGACGACATGCTCAACAGAAAAGTGTCCGAAAATGTGTATGTTGCGTTGGATTTACGGTCATACAAGAAGTGATCGAGTTCGGAACGATGATATACGTGATTGATTAGGGGTAGCACCAATTGAAGAAAAGCTTGTTCAACACCGGTTGAAATGGTTTGGACATGTCCAACGGAGACCTCCAGAGGTACCGGTGCGTAGTAGAATTCTAAGCCAGGATAGTAACGTGAAGAGAGGCAGAGGAAGACTGAAGTTGACTTGGGTAGAGGCAATAAAAGGAGACTTGAAAGGATGAAATATACCCAAAGACTTAGCCTTAGATAGGAGTGCTTGAAAAAAAGCTATTCACGTGCCTGAACCTTGATTGTTTCTGCTGAGTTTCAACTCTAGCCTACCCCAACTTGTTTGGGACTTAAAGGCTTTGTTGTTGTTATTGTTGTTGTTGTTGTAAAGGTTACTGAGCATAGGTTTTCGAAAAAAAGGTTACTGAACATACCTTCTGATCACAAAGCTGTGCTCTGTAAACGCGGCCAAAACGGCCTTCACTGACCAGATTGTCAGCACTGAAGCTCTTCGTTGCTACCTGCAGGTCTGCCACTGTGTATGCAGTTGCCCTGATGCAAGAGACGTTTACTTTCTCTGCGGCAGGCTTGTTAGTGGGATCATTTTCGTCGAAGGACTTGTGAAGCTCGATTTTTGACGGTGGTTTCAAGTTCATCGAGACATTCTTTTTCAGTTCCTTTGCAGTGGGCGAGAGTGAGACAGCACGGATGGGCCTCAGCTCTGAACAGCAACCATTGTTCAGAGAAAACAAATAAGCAACACCTAGATTCTATGTTAAATATTTTTTTCTTACTAGTACATGGTATGGTAGACTTACGCTTAATTTTCCTGGAAGCAAGAGGGCTGAGATGCTCATTCTTTTCAGGATCACATCCCTGTTGACGCCTCACAGATTTCCTCTTGATCAGAAAGAAGGCAACCAATGCACCGACAACCACCAGAGATATCACAATTCCAGCAACTGCAGCACCTCCTACTCCTACTTTGGAGCTTTTGCCATCACCACCACCATTATTGGTATCACTTTCTCTCGATGGACTATTGTTATTGTTACTATGACTAGGAGTTCTAGAAGGTGATGGTTTCGAAGGTGGATTGTATGACGGAGGTGCTGTTGCAGCTGATGCAGGACTGTTGCTAAAGGAGTTGCCACTTGTCCTACAATAGAAAGACTGAATTACAATACCAATCCGGTAACCTGGAACTGTGGTAGAGAAAATTACTTACTGGAGATTGCTTATGCTCTTCAGCTTATCAGGAATCGACCCACTGAATTGGTTATTTGCAACATTTCTGCACGTGATATTGATAATTGGATCACTAATAAAAAGATATTTGTGTAAACAGCAGCATGTGGTAATTGTACCAACTTACAGGTCCGTCAGAGGGAGATCAGTGAGGACATCTATCGTACCAGTAAATTGGTTGTCCTGCAAATAACTGAGGATATAGCATGTCATCATTGTACTTTGAGTTTTCCGTACTTATTTGGATTGTGGACAACAGATTTATAATGATTAATGAAGAACAAGGAGAATGTCCTCACAGCGTGCTCAAACTTGTCAAGGAGTCGAAGCTTTCAGGAAGATTTCCAGAAAAGGAGTTGTATGAGAAGTCCCTACAATAATTTTACCAATTATTATGGAAGAGATAATATCATATGGTAGCTCACTAGTAAAATTTCTGTTCAGATATAACTAAAAAGGCACTCACAGTGTTGTTAAGTTGGTGAGTTGGTCGAACATAACATTGATGTCTGACAGCTGATTATGACCAAGATTTCTGAACCAAATAGGGTGGTATAACATTATATTGTGAGATATAGTCAATGTCCTAGAAAGAGAGTACGAAAGACCCGTAAACATAACCTACTTACAAATATTTAAGTGCAGCCATTTGGGAAATGGAGTAAGGTAAAGTCCCAATGAAGTTGTTATTCTCAAGATTTCTGCAGGCCAAGTGTTCTGTCAGCACTTAAAGAATGATTGACAAAGGAAAAGAAAGGCAGTCCTAGAGCTGTGAAGATCAAATAATAGCTTACAGTCTCTCAAGATTTGGTGGGAGATTATAAGGGATATCACTTCCTCCAAGATTATTGTTGCTCACGTCACTGCAAAAATTATAACAGATCAAAATTACAGCGCTGTGTACCATCAAAACACTGAAAGTGTGTGGGAGATGATGATTCCACTAACAGCTCAGACAGTTCAGTGAGGAGATTCATGTTGTATCCCAGGGTCCCTTTTAGTCTCATACCAGGCAGTTTTCTGAAGGAAATTAGCATGTCAGATGAAACGGAATTTTATGTCAGAATCAAGTCGACTTCTCTGTGTCACCTCACATTGTTGTCACTCTGGAACCGGAACAAGTAACCCCGAGCCAAGACTGGCCACATGGGTCGCCGTTCTGTGGTACCCAGTTTGTCAGCTGCGACGACGTGTTCACGGTTGTGTAGAATGTGTTGAGGGCAGTCACTGAGTAGGCAGAAACATCAACTCAGATGGCGTGACAACAATAATTCCGGTGGAAATATCATGATTAGTGTTTATTCGTCAACAAGTTGTCAGTTTTCAGCAATCAATCAACAGTACAGCCTCTTGACAATGAATATGAAAATTATTAATACTAGGTTTTCCTTTCAAAAAAGTAAATGAAACTAATACAAGTATTATCCTAGTTGTACCTTTTCATCATCTGAGACTCCTAACAAGCATATACAGCCAGTACTACTCTGAAGTCAAAAGTAGCAGTCCTACTTGCAGTACCAAGAACCTAACTTTTTAGCAATCCAATAAAAAAAGGTGCCTTGAATAACCGCAACATTCGCAAAATTAAATAAACAATTGGGCATGTTTCTTTCTTCCGGGTTAGCCGGATAGGGCAAACAAAGCTACTAAAACGCGGAGGACAAAATGGAGAAACACTCGGCCAAACCTGTGACACTATGTATCAGTCCAAGACCAAATTCCCAATCATCCGAAGCTTAATGAAACTTAAACCTATAGAAGTTTGGCCATCTGAAGCGGAGAAGTCAAAGAAAAGGAATTGGAAAGAACATCAAGAAGACAAGAACTGAACAGGTCAGCAATACTTTGGCATTCCCATGGGCCCAAGGTTGGATAAAGAATTCGTCACTGTGATTTTAAACGCTATAGTAACTCGAAATGACCGTGTTTTCCCCAGTCCGTAGCAAAGAAAGGGGATGCTCTCAGAACAAGCTGTAGCAGAAACGTCTGTGGCATACTCGCATCGCATATGAGATAGAAAACGAGCAACGTTTATGCACAACACTGCTACTGCCTCCAAACCAGAAGCAGATTTTTCTAGCAGTCTGACGGCAGACTGAAGAGGAAGAAGCATCACGAACAGTCCCATCCATTGATGCCCTAAGAAACATATAGAGAGAAGTCCGAACAGAACAGAACCAAGGGGGCAAAGGCAGTGTTCTTGGCATGCTAAACCGAACACATATATGCTTCAGTTGAGGAGAGATGGGAGAACTAGGGGAGCATGAATCGCGAACCGTCGTCGGAGTTGGTGTCGGCGGTGGCCCCGGTGAAGACGGAGAGCGAGAGTAGCGCCGCCACTCCGGCCACGCCCAACGCCATGCCTGGAGCTGCTCTGCACTCAGTGGTGTTCTCGCTGGAGTATCCAAGGAAGAAGGTGAAGGGGAAAAAAAATAAAAGTTATCTGCCTCTGTTCACTTCCCTTCTCTCTTCTCCCTTCCTCTGTCCGCTCTTCCCCTGTTTGTTTGTCAGTGTGACAGTGTGTGTGTTTTGCTTTCTCCTCGCTTTCCCTCAGCGCGCTCCCGCATTTATATATATACGTCCACAATCTTGTCAGCGTCAGAGAGGTAATCAGGACGACAGAAGTGCCCTTGGAAAGGACTTGTTTCACGGACGTTTTTACGGCTTGTTTAGTCCACCCTAAATTCTAAAAAGTTACTATAGTACTTGTCACATCGAATGTTTGTGGCCGTACATGGAGCATTAAATATAGACGAAAAGAAAAACTAATTACACAGTTTGGTGGGAAATTGCGAGACGAACGTTTTAAGCCTAATTAGTCCATGTTTGAACATTATTTACCAAATAAAAACAAAGGTGCTACAGTAACACAAAATCCAAATTTCGCGAACTAAACAAGAGCTTAACTTGTATTTACTGCTTTTCCAAAAGTACAGTACAGTATAATCTGGGTCAATTTAGAAATATATTTGAAAAAAAAATAGTTCCATCGGCTTCGAGTTCATTTAAGGTGAAGAGGACAGAAAAGCTTCTAAACAGGTAGCTAAACAAGCTCTAAACGAAAACAGGGGAGCGCGTAGTATTTTGGAATGCGGCTCGCACATGTTTCCCCTGTGCTGTTACGTTGTGCGCGCATTGTCACTGCTAGTCTACGGCTACACATGGAGATGGAGGCCGGCTGGTGGAGTGGTGGTGGTGGAGATGCATGGATGATTCTCTGCCGTCGGCTGGATCATGTCCGGACGAACACGGACCCGGTGGCTGCCTAGTAGCAAGATTGCTATAGCCAATGGAGTGTACTACTACATGTAGCCTACATGTAGGAATGAATGCCCCCGCGACCTGAGGCGGACACGATGTTTGTGATGACGAAAAAACAAGAGCGGATGCATCAGTCAGATTTGCGTTTGTGTTGCTTGTGTTGTGCGTGACTGTAACATCACCAACACACCACCAGCAGTATTTCTGCACCATGCCCATGGACCATGCATGGTATGGGCCGGCCTAAGGACGTAGCGGAGGTCAGTCATTCTAATTTTTTTTAAGAGTCGAAACATCTTAATTTTTATCAAATTTATATAAATAATAAAATAATAATAGCATTTATAATATCAAATAAGTTTCATTAAATTCTTAATTGATTATATTTTTATAGTACTTATTTGATGTCATAAATCTTTGTAATTCTCTCTATATTAATTTGGTCAAACTTAAGATGTTTTGACTCTCCAAAAAAGTTAAAATAACTTATAATTTGACGAAGGGAGTACTAGTCAAGGTCACACTAAAAGCAGTATCTCTACCTAAACGGCTGCTTAAACCGGCCATATAACTTGTGACCATAATTAATCAAAATCTATGTATATTAAGTGCACAGAAGACACCTCGGACCTTATTTGGTTACACTAGTATCCATGTGTATGGGACTGAATTAAGATCGAACTTAGTTTAATTTATACTCCAATTCACCCTAACACACATGAATTAAGGTGGATACGAGTGTACCAGAACAAGCTCTTTATGGATTTGTATTCCACATGTCTTTAGGTAAGATGTTGCCATTATAGTAATTGGTAATATGTGTGGCATAAATTAGCGGTCAAAGGATACTTTTGGCTTTTCAAATACACAAATAAGGACCCCGTTCGCTTCGCTGAAAAAACAAGCCGAAATATTGTTTCGGCTGATTTGTTATAAAAGAAAAACACTATTCCGACTGAAAAAACAAGTTGAAAAAGTACGGATTATAAGAGAAGCGAACATGACCAGATCTAAGGGTGCACAAAACTTTTTTCCCTTTCATTCATCCGCTTATCGTGTTACTTCGAGGTAGGGAAATGGGAAAAGTTTTTTGCTAAAAGACGTCCATTATTGGACATTGCAATCGGACGTCCATTATTGGACTATTGATAAGTCCCTGACTAAAATCAACCAAATGACGACCGGTGACGACTAAAGGCAAGTGAAACGACGGCAGCATATAGCACGCCGGCGGCCTTTTCGTTCTTGGTGACTTTTTGCCTCTGCTCTGGCTATGATCCACCGACAGTGTTATTTAGCTCACTCTTGTGCTTGGTTGGATTCAAGAGTGACGCGTCCATGCGACACAATAAAGGCAGAATAACCGTTTTTTCATGAACTATTACGTGAGACTTAGTTTCGTCCATGAACTTCTAAAACGATCGTTTTAGTCCTTAAATTTTACTTTTAGGCTCAATTTTATCCTAGAACTATGAAGATGATCGTTTCGATCCTCAAATTTTGTATTTTTGGCTCAATTTCATCCATAAACTACAAAAGTACATTTTGGTCTTTAAACTTTTATTTTTCAACTCAATTTTGTCTATCAAAAAGAAAAAAATTATATTTTAGGCAAAATTTCATCCATGAATTATCAAAATACATTTTGACACAACTTCGTCCTTGATCCAACACCACCCACGATTTGAGATGGACAGTCATCGTTAGGTACTATTGTTACTAGCACCGTCCCAGCTACCAAATCGGATTTGTATTCATATTCTAAGATGAATATAAATATAGATCTAAATATTCTTAAATATAAATTTTTATGAGCCAATGGATAAAAAAATTATTTTATACATAAATGGTTATTAGTTGAGCCTAATGCTAGAAGTAGCTAAGGAAAAAATTATAGATATGCTATTGTTTCATTATATTCATGTATTCTTAAGAAATAAATAGCGTTTGAAGCAATTGCAATTGCTCCCACAAAAATCATCTATAGTTGGATATATATAAACAATACCATTATAGTTGGATATATCGCTAGTGGTGTTGAAGCTGACCAGATGCAATAGCACAGCGTTCCACATAGAACGATAGACAAAGTTGAGTTTGAAAATAAAAGTTTAAAGTCCTAAATGCAAAGTTTGAAGACTAAAATTATCATCTTCATAGTTTGTAGGATGAAATTGAGCCCAAAATGTAAAGTTTAAGGACTGAAATGATCATCTGCATAGTTCTAGGATGAAATTGAGTCTAAAAATACACTTTGAGGACTAAAATTGCCGTTTTGAAAATTTAAGGATGAAAATTAATAGTTCAAGGACCAAAATGACTATTATGCCCACAATAAACTAAGATGGCCAATGCTACAGTTCTCTTTATTTATTGAAGGTAATAGCTTAAACAAATCTGAGCCATTAATTTTTTAGATTAATTAATTAATTGCCTAGAAAAAGAAAATAACTTAAATCCTCAAATTAAATTATGGGAGACACATGAGTAGGCGCATGGACTTTCATTGTTTGTTCCTTTGCATGCAAAGCCTTCCGATCGTGCAAACCCATCAACCAAAGACAGCCCCACGGCAGGCAGAAATATCCAGTGATTACACATTTTCCCTTTGATCATATTATAAAAAAGTTACACAGTAAAGCGCGATGTCGTACACACGTCTGTGTATATCACGTTCTACAAAACGCACCTGTATATATCACGTTCCAAAAAGGTTACCACTATATTATGTACCATACACACCTCTGTCACGTTAAAAAAATAATTGCTAACTCTCCATCACGTTGGAAAAAGATCGTACCAAACTTTCCAAAAAGAAACAGACAGCATATTTGGACACTTTATTTCCTTCCAAAATTAAAAATAATTAAATATACAATTTTATTATTACCTCCTATAAAGTAATGTATGGTAAAAGATATCCAGATCGAGAGCCCACGGTTATTTGGGAGTGCCACAGCAAAGCCTAACTAATATACATTAGTCTCTTTTTGCCCTTGGTGGTTCGCTCTCTCAACACTTGCTATTTCATTTCATAACTTATGCTTGTGTTGTTGCTTGCCTAACAGTAGCTTTCTTAGCTTGCTCCTAGCTTGTTTAGTTAGTTGCCTTTCTCTAGTATGAGTAGTGTAGTTGTCGCTCTCTATATTAGCTATCTAGTTGCTAGGTGGTAGTTCTAGTTGTTTGCTTGGTTGTGTGCTTAATTCTTGTTAAGTTGTTACAACTAGACTTGTGTAGGGCTTGCTTCGTGGTGTGTCGGCTAGCACTACTACAAAATGATTTTGCGAGGCAGGCCAAAATATTAATGGAGGCGGGCATATCTAGCGACCACCTACGTAAATGATTTGGAGAACTCCAGGAAAATGCCCGTCTCCCAAAATCATTTATGGAGACGATTGCCTCCGAAAATCATTGATTAATGGAGACGGTCGTCTTAGGACTCTGCCTCGATAAATTGATTTAGAATTATTAAACAGTCTTGGTTGTTGACATAGTCTATACGAAAGTTACGGCTCTCAATAGAATCTACAACTTTATAGTTGAAAAGCTTTTTATTTGAAGTTGTTTCGAGTTCCAAATATGGGTTCGAACGTTATAGATTTTGAAATTTAAAATTTAGAATTCCTAAACGATTTTGAATGTTCACACAGTGAATACAAAAGTTGTAGTGGCCGACCTGAGCTACATGTTTACTATTGACAAGTTTTTTATTTAAAGTCGTTTAGAGTCTCAAATATGTGTTTTAAATTCACATATTTTTATATTTAATTTTTTGATTTTTTCAAATAATCTCGGATAGAGATACATCATAAACTAAAGTTGTAGTACTTGATAAGATTTAAAACTTTATAGTTAAAAGTTTTTTCATTTGAGTTCATTTAGTACCCAAAATATCTAATATAAGATTACGAAATATTGATATAAAATAATAACATATTATATATAGACATAAATGAGTGTGTGGTGGAGTAGTAGAGATGAGGTAGTGTTGAGTGTTAGGTCATAGGTTCAAAACCTAGAAGTCATAATTTTTTTGGATTTTGGGTTTTTCGGAGACCGTTAACGGAGGCGGACGTTTTAAGGCGGCTACCTCCGTGCCT